AGGAATGGGCCCAGTTCGGGACTAAACTAAAATGTTTAAAAGTGTGGATAGTTGCCTTTAAGAGCACCCCAGGAATTGAGCCATCCATAGTACTCACTCACTCTTATAAACATTAGTGCTTACACCTCTGGGTTACTCCTTTTTATTCCTTGTTATAGATTTAAAGTAACAAGTCTACTTTAAGATTTACATTGTGGCAGTTACTCGGTACCAAAATGCCTATCTATTTTTGAATGGACGCAATGTGCAAAAATAGCTGCTGATATTATTTTTAAACTCAGAAACCAGGTCTAAAACTGACCCTCTGTAGTTTGTATGCTAAACCACTGGGCACAGTTGCTTTTTACTGGGTAGCTGTGACTGAATTTTGCGGGTCTGAGCTTTCCAGCTGACGTGGTTTTTAATTCTTCCGGGATTAGCTGCTGGCACGAATCATATTTGTAACTGCGATGCTGAGTTTTTGATTTGGTCAACCGATAATGGGTGAGTTTCCTGTGTATGTGTATTCAGTATGCAGACTTATGTGATTTTTAAGTTGAAGTCAGTTCAGCCATTGTAATTTATTATGCTGAACACTGACTTTAAAGTGATCGCTATGTGCCCTTTTTCATAGGGAAGCTTGGTAGCTCTAAATTTAAACGGTATAAAAAAAGAAATGCCATGGGTTTTATACTTTGTAGATTAAACAGCAGTCTCTTTATAGGAATGCAAGAGTGTGGTAAATTAGTATAAACAACTGAACTTTACAGCCCAACTCTACTCAAAAGTTTTTATGAATTTTTAAATAAGGTAGCAGAGACTTATCTGTCATACTGTGACTCCATTAGGGATTTTTCTTCAAACCTCCTGTTCTGGGGACACCAGGGCAAATATAATGAGAAAAGGGGTCAACAAGATGAGAAAACACAGTCAGCAATTAAAAAAGGAGGTTGTAACTCTTCCCCACTCTACTAAAAAGGTGTGCTTATTTTTGTTGTTATCCCTTGGAGACTGTATCTCACTTCCTGTCTCCGATCTGATTACCGGGACAGGAAGTGGATGATATCTTTTCAATAGGGGCACAGATAGCAGTAACACCTGGCAGAAAAGAAGGACTTCTGGATTTGGGTTTTTGATTAAGAAAGTTTATAGCAGTTGTTAATAGAAGACCTCCGGGCATAATTATTCTTATCCCTTGCAGTGGGGCTATCCCCGTACTGCAAGGGTTAAATGCTCATTTTTGTCTAGGGACAAAAATTAAAAGTTTTACTCACCTGAACCTCGCAGCCAACTGGCTGTTAGACCAATCCCTGCCGCCTCTCTCCCCTTTTGATCCAGCTGTCTAAGGTCCTGTGAGTCATAGGGCGTGAGGACGCCGTGGGACATACCATCGCCAGAGCAGAGGAGAAGACAGTCTCCAGGGACCGGTCTAAAAGCCAGCCGGCTGCAAGTTTCAGGTAAGTCACTTTTTTATACTTAAATCCCTAGACAAAAATGAGCAGTTAACCCTTGCAGTGCGGGGGTAACCCCACTGCAATGGTTAAGAATAATTATGGCCAGAGGTCTTGTGTAAACTCAAACCTGTGATGCCCTTATTTTATTCCTAACTATTATGGGAATATATTGTCTAATTATTCTTGTAACTCTGATTACCTATGATATCATTCAATTATAGATTTTGCGCAACAGCTCAGAGATATGTTGTATGATGGGACTGAAAATAGCCATGATGTTATGCCTGTGGCATCTGAGTGTCATGTTGTATAGAAATTCCATGTGTAAGCGTTAGAATGTTGCAAGGTGACATGCAGTCTGGGTGAATGTGACATAAGGCATTGGGTCATGTGAAGGGAGCAACTTCTGACTCTTCTTGAAACTTCCTGGTTGAGGGTTCCCTCTGCATTGGAAGAGTTGAATACACATTTTTGTCTAGGGTAACATTAGAAAGCAAGTTTACTTAGCTTATCCTTCACTTCCACAGACGCCTCCTTCCATGTGACTGTTCCCCCGCACCCACTTTTCTTTGCCAATCCAACCCACAGTCACAGCTATGATGTCATCACATACAATGCAGGAGCACTGGTCCTGCTTTGTAAGTGAGGACTTGGAGTGCCTACCCACAAACTGGAGTGTCGGAAAAAAGAGGTGAGTTCCGGGTTTGTTGCTATAAGGTCAGTGAAAGTGTTTTTTTACTGAGACCCTAGGCAAAAGCAAGCATTTAACCCTTGCAGTGCAGGACTAGGAGCCATGCTGCAAGGGTAATATTTTCATATTGCGGGAGTTTAGGTTTAAGACACGCCTCCACTGACTTCTGTAGCAATCCATCCTCACAATTTACAGAAGCACTGAAGTCATTCAATCTTTCTATTAGAAGTTGTGCTCCGCCATCACCAGCAGCCTTCCCATCTCTAATCTAGCAGGTGCTCTGTGAGGGTGAGCTGAGCTGCTGATAGATTACCATTTAAAGAAGGGCTCCAGGAAAAAATGTTAACCTTTGCAGTGGGGCTACCCCAGCTTTGCAAGGGTTAAGTGCTTGCTTTTTTTCAGGTGCTCTAAAAAAAAAAAGGTAAACTCACCAGACCATGTAAGCCGGCTCCCTGCTTCTGTGATCACTGTCTCCTCCGCTACACAGATGGGCTGCTGCTCGGCATTTCTTATGTCTGTATATGCACAGTGTATAGAGCGTGATGACACTAGGATCCTTAGACCACTGCAGCGGAGGGGAGAGATGTTCCAGACATGGGTCACAAGTAAGGATGGGCTCGGGCGTGTTCACAGCTCCACGTGCCGAGCCCGCCAGGAAGCTGACAGCGCGCAGCGCCAAATCACAGGTACTGAGATATTTTCCCGGTCCGCAGCTGCAGAGATCGGGAAATGTCTCAGAGCCTGTGATTGGTGCTGTCAGCTTCCTGGCGGGCTCAGCACGTGGAGCTGCGAACACTCCCGAGCCCATCATTGGTCTGGGGAGTATAACTTTTTTTTTCCAGCACCTAGACACAAACGAACACTTAACCTATGCAGTGCTGGGGTATCCCCATCAAATGGATTAATTAAAAAAAAATTCTTGGAGTTCTTGTTTAAGTGCTTTTGGGGGGGAATTTATCAAAATTGGAGCAGACAGAATCTGAAGCAGTTGCCTGTGGCAACCAGTCAGCATCCACCTTTCATTTTCAAACCTTAACTGAACAAACTGAAGAGAGAAGTTGATTCTTCTGCTTCAGTTTTGATAAATTCCCCCTTTGAATTTAGAGGATGCCTTGCTCCACACTGTCTGAAACTATAGAGGTTAGTGAGAGTTTGCTTATTCACTGCCTGTTAAGAATATGTGAATACTTGCCCTGTAGAGAATAAATGAGGAGAAAGAATACTTGCAAAGTTAGATATCAATGAAGCTGTCAACTACTTAGAAAACTGCATAGCTGGATTTACATTTTCTTTTTGCGTTTAGGATTTAGGCCCCTTTCACACTGCCCATTCAGGAGGAATCTGTGCAGGGAGACCCTGCTGATTGGTACGCCCAGTTTTTTTCCACCATCTTGCATTGGAGGAAAAAAAACCTGAAATTACCAGACCCCATGTTGGCCTATGGGGAATCGGATGTAAACAGACTAGTGTCTGTTTACCTCAGATCTGGCATGATCAGGTCTGGTGAAACAGAACTCTGTTCTGTTTGTTATACCCGGACATGGCTGGAGTCGGAGAAAACCGGATGTAAACGGACGCACGTCCATTTAGATCCGGCTGCCCATGGACTGACATTGAAGGTTTATCACACATACAACTAGCAGAGCTCGAGGTGTTCTTTCCATAATCGAGGAAACAATAGCATTTCTAATAATTACCTCCTTATACCTTCTTAGGCCATATACATGCTGATGTTTTACTGAAAATGAAAGGCAGCCCATACAGGCAGAACCCACTGCAATCTTTTCTCTTGTCTACATGTTCAAACTTTGTTTCCTTTTCTCCATTAAAAATGGGATATTCTGCATCCAGCATTTTCTAATGTGTTAGAAAGATGTTTGATAATGAGCACTTCTGATTCTCCCAAGTACTACACATGAATTTCGTCACTTTGTTCAGCAAAAGCACCTTAGTAGGAACATTTCCTATTGTACTTATGACACCAGCCAAGTGCATATGCATACTGCATGACCACCACTCACAGGGCTTAGTTAACCCTATAAGCAAAGTGGGTATGATCAACTTTTAATATAGCCATTTACATGAACCTGAACCCTAACCCTTTCACCTCCTTTTCCTTTCAATGGAAGAGCAGCTTGTTTATAGTTCAGTGTCCAAAAAAATTGTGCCCACGTCTCTACCAAGTGCTGCTGATTTAAAGTAGACCTTTACCCCCTTTTACTAAAAATCACAGCATGCAGCTCTGCATGCTGATATGAAACATCTTACATTCATTATATAAACATATTTTGTTTTTCCACTTCCTGGCCCTCTTGGGCATTTTTTATGTAATGTGCACAAGTGTTGCAACCTGGGAAGGTTATATTACAGACAGGGCCGGTGCAAGGATTTTTGCCTTCATTATGTGGCTCGAGCTATATTCCCATGTCATATAGAAAGGTAAGATAAGACATGTCGAGGAAAAGTGGTCCCACAAAGGTTTATAGCCACCTCTCCAAGCTCACTCCCATGAAGGACTATAATCTCACATTTAGTTTGCTCATTTCTATTGAGATTGTAGTCCATCCCGGGAGTGAGCTTGGAGTGGTGGCTACCTTACAACACACACAGGGACCATGGGGAACAGTAGTTACCCTCCAGTAGGAAGGACGACAGTGTCAGCACCAATTCAGAGATGATTTGAGGATCTACAGCTGAGTGATACACAAATACAGCACACTTTTGTTAATAGTTAAGGTACTTGAATGCGTTTTGAATTGTTTAGTTTCACTTTAATGTAAAAAATGGCTTTGGATTCCCTCACCTAGCCAGTTTGACAAGCTTGCTTACTATGCTGCTGCATGTAATAATTACTATGTACTTAATGTTAATTTCAGGGAATGTCCAGTCTGTAAAAGGGGAAGCCAGTGATGAAGATGAGGAGACAGAGTACTATGATGCCATGGAGGACACACCAGCCTTTATCACAGTAACAACTGACCCCAAACAGCACAGGTAATCCATACAATGCTTCAAACAGTAAGAAAAATCAATATGCTTGTTTAAGAATTTACATATATGCAGTATAACACATAAGTGCTCATTCAGTAATAAGTAGTACAAAGTAAAGTAACCCCCAAAAATTGGTAAGAGATACCTTCTGGTTGGTTATTAAGGGGTATTGCAGTGTATATATTTGTATTTGTCCTCTCTAATATGCAGAACTTAACGTAATTGGATTAGTTCATTGTGTAAGCTTAGGCTTCATTAACACATGTGCTCCTGGGTTTAGATCAGGGGTGCCCATTAGGTAGATCGTGATCTACCAGTAGCTCTCAAAGCTGATGCTGGTAGATCACGAAGGGTGTGAATAGCGGCCCCTTTATTCCATTTTGGTATATTTATTTAGCTGTGCACACATGATTACCTATTAGCCTGAGTCTGCTGAGCCAAGCTCCCTGACACCTTTCTGGTGGGTACTGGTGGTTGAAGTGCTATGTATTACATCAAAGAATATTCGTTTACACAGCCTGTTACACTACACTGTTTGCAAAATACAGCAAGGTGAGCCAGGAGAGAGAGCAGGGAGAGACAGCCAGGAGAGAGAGCGGGGAGAGACAGTCAGGAGAGAAAATGAGGAATGACAGCCAGGAGAGAGAGAGTGAGAAAAGACAGCCAGGAGAGAGAGGAGAGACAGCCAGGGGGATAAGCAAGGAGAGAGAGGAGAGACAGCCAGGAGGATGAGCAATGAGAGACAGCCAGGAGAGAGAGCGAGGAAAGACAGCCAGTGGAGAGAGGAGAGACAGCCAGGAGAGAGAGGAGAGACAGCCAGGAGGATGAGCAATGAGAGACAGCCAGGAGAGAGAGCGAGGAAAGACAGCCAGGGGAGAGAGGAGAGACAGCCAGGAGGATGAGCAAGGAGAGACAGCAAGGAGGATGAGCAATGAGAGACAGCAAGGAGGATGAGCAATGAGAGACAGCCAGGAGAGAGAGCGAGGAAAGACAGCCAGGGGAGAGAGGAGAGACAGCCAGGAGGATGAGCAAGGAGAGACAGCCAGGAGACAGCCAGGGGAGAGAGGAGAGACAGCCAGGAGGATGAGCAAGGAGAGACAGCAAGGAGGATGAGCAATGAGAGACAGCAAGGAGGATGAGCAATGAGAGACAGCCAGGAGAGAGAGCGAGGAAAGACAGCCAGGGGAGAGAGGAGAGACAGCCAGGAGGATGAGCAAGGAGAGACAGCAAGGAGGATGAGCAATGAGAGACAGCAAGGAGGATGAGCAATGAGAGACAGCCAGGAGAGAGAGCGAGGAAAGACAGCCAGGGGAGAGAGGAGAGACAGCCAGGAGGATGAGCAAGGAGAGACAGCAAGGAGGATGAGCAATGAGAGACAGCAAGGAGGATGAGCAATGAGAGACAGCCAGGAGAGAGAGCGAGGAAAGACAGCCAGGGGAGAGAGGAGAGACAGCCAGGAGGATGAGCAAGGAGAGACAGCAAGGAGGATGAGCAATGAGAGACAGCAAGGAGGATGAGCAATGAGAGACAGCCAGGAGAGAGAGCGAGGAAAGACAGCCAGGGGAGAGAGGAGAGACAGCCAGGAGGATGAGCAAGGAGAGACAGCCAGGAGAGAGAGCGAGGAAAGACAGCCAGGGGAGAGAGGAGAGACAGCCAGGAGGATGAGCAAGGAGAGACAGCAAGGAGGATGAGCAATGAGAGACAGCAAGGAGGATGAGCAATGAGAGACAGCCAGGAGAGAGAGCGAGGAAAGACAGCCAGGGGAGAGAGGAGAGACAGCCAGGAGGATGAGCAAGGAGAGACAGCCAGGAGAGCGAGGAGAGACAGCCAGGAGAGAGAGAGCGAGGCAGGTTTTTTTCCCCTTGGTAGATCTCATGTAGCTCATCATTTGAAAAGTAGATCTTGACACAAAAAATTGTGGACACCCCTGGTTTAGATGATCTGAACGCAGGGCCAATTATACTTGAAGTATAAAGAAAATGTATGCTACCCAGATCACTTTTTTTCCTACTTTTAGAAATGCCTTCTTTAAAGCAGGCTTAGTCAGTTTCTGATTGGATTCTGGACACACAGAATTCTTTTTTCTCTAAATACAGCTAAACCGAACGGCCCTAAACACAGGTATGAATCACAGTTTTGGCAGTTAGTAGGAGTGAGAACACGTTTCACACCCCAGCAAAATAAACAACTTCGAAAATCAAATGGTCATTTACCCCTCTCAAGTATGCTAGAGATTGGGAGAGGGGGGCTTTCAAGATACTCAGTTGTCACAACGGAATAGGTATAAAATAATATAAAAACATATTTTAATACAAATGTCACATACAGACAATTTACTAATACATGTAACTACTTAAAAGTCCATATACGGCACAATACAGGTTTACGTTTGCAGTGATCTGGTTGTTATATTGTTGATATATTGAGAAATGGTAGTTCTTTGGGTTCCTCAACATGTTTCGGCGTATTCCGGCTTCCTCAGGAGGACCTCAAACCTAGAACACTGTTTAAATGTATTCAAAAATCAATATCAGTTTTACAATAAACATTCTCTAAATTCACATTGGTAATTAGATTAACAAGGATAATAGACCTGCAGGGACCAAACAGACGAGATGGACAAAGGCATCAGCGACAAAACCCTGCACGAAGCCTAAACGCAGATAAACGTCCAGTCTGAATGATACCATTAAAAATTATTACCTGCATTAGTAAGCATTTAAGAATGTGCTGTAAACGCAGGTTTGACACTGCCAGTGTGAATAAGGAGTTAAAAGACAACTATAAAAAGCTGATTTTACTATAATGCATTTTCCCTGTTCCAGAATTCAGCAATAGACCTCCTCCTTCCACCTAGTACATATATGATATGTGGTGAGCCTGGCCAAGTAGCGGCATGTGGGCATTGGCTTTACCTTTCTTCACATACTTTTATTAAACATACAGAGGAGGGCAGCAGGGGTTTCCCTAGTGTTTTTGCTACCTGAGGCAGGTGGGGGGTGCTGTTGCTGCTCGCTAATGCGAGGGGGGGTCTGGGAGGTATGCTGGTGGTGAACGCTAATGGGGGGCAGGGGGATGCCTTTGCATCATCTCCCTACCCAGCTTTGCCTCTGGTTCTGGCCAGTGTCCCGCTAGTGATGTCACTAGTTGCCAGGAGCTGGCTGGGACGCTGGCTGGAGCATGCCAGGTTGCTAAGAGCTTTGTGGGGAGTTGTGTATGGCCCTTACACACCTATCTGCCCGGGTCTTAGCAACCTGGGACGCTCTGACCAGAACGGGGTGGAAGGCACACTGCAAATATTGTGCCTGCCGCCCCCCACGTGACCCAAAGGAATGCCATCTGAGGCAACAGCCTCTGGCTGCCTCATTATCGGTACGGCTCTGGAGTGCAGGACTAGGGGACATCTCCCAGTCTACAAGGAATTTATAATGGGCAACTAGAATAGAATGGAATTGCACTTTAAACCTTCTTTAGTGCAGAACTTACCTTGATGTGGATTGGTATTACAAGTGAGAAACACTGATCAGACTGCATTCAAATATATTAAGGGGTGCCGGCTGTCATTGTGCTGTTGATTTTACTCTCATCTGTGTTATACTAGTGCACTGGTGGAGTATTTCTTGTACAGCTTAAAATAGCTAGCCAGAGACCTTCTTGGCTGCCACTGCCTGCTGGCAGAGTTTGCTTTCTGTCAAAATGCCTGGAGAAGCTTGATATTGACATGCCACACTCCCAGAATCCCCACAGCTATGTATAAACCAGGGATGGCTAACCACGAGTCTATATCATGGCACATACAGCTCTGTCACAACTAAAGTGTCAGAAAAGAGCTCTCTCAGCATCATCTATAGAACTATTAGACATTACTTTGAAAGGGTTATTTTTCACCTCCAGCTGACTTGAGGAAAAACTAATTAAAAACGACGATATTGTTTTGAAGCGAGGAACTGCTAAAAATCACTAAATATAGATCAATCACATTAACCTTCCCACCTTGCAATGAGAGAGGAGCTAATATACAGAACAGTCCCTGATGACTTTAACATGTCCGTGCCAACCCTCCCCATTAATCATGCTGATGGAAGCACAGCGTACGCATTTCAAAGCTCGGAAGACTTAAATGTTTGCTATGTGCATGCTGTATACAGACATGGAAGCACAGTGCGGCTGACAAGGGTGCTAGGTTTTATATAGGAACCAAAGTTTTCCTAATATTCCACTTACTTCTATCATTTAGTGGAGTCTTAACACCATAAGAAGAACATTTCATTTACAGCAAAGGATTGTAGATCATCTGAATTTGTATTGGGGTTACATAAGAGGCTATTTTGGATATTGAGAGTGTTTACCTGAGCTGACCTCTAGGCATATATGAAAGACACACTTAATTCAGCCCTCTGTCTATTGATAAATCATTTTATGGATTTGTTTCACCTATAAGTAGAGTAAGTGCCTGAATCTGTCCTGGTATCAGCCCTTGCAATCTCTGTACAGAAAAAACAGAACGGTACAAGGAGCCAATCAGTGCATGTGTTGATTAGAAGCATGCTGATAAAAGGAGAAAGCAGAGTGACAGAGAGAAGAGCTCCTAACTTTGCTGCTTCTCCTATCACTGTTAAGTTACCGACTGGGGCGGGTACAGGACAACCCAGGCTCAGAGGAAGTGGGATGAATGATACTGGCCATCAGACTGAAGACATCTAGTGGCAGAAAAACAACTACATGGGAAATCTCTAGATTGAAGGTGAATATTGCAGCAAAAGTTGATTTGGTTCATTTATCTTTTTACGTTTTATTTTTTAAATTTTTGGCTGGCTTAAGTTCTATTTAACTGCATAGTGCACAGGTGTGTATTTCTCTTGTCCTGAATACAATGGACTGCAGTTCTGGGTAGCTGTTCTTTGAGCAGAATCTTCAAAAGAATCTTTCTCCTCTAAAATATATACAGAGAGCTAAAAAGGACAGAGCAAATGTCGAGAAAAGCCGTTCACTTGCTTTATGTCACAGCAGATTTTTCACAGGCTAAAAGACTAAAGTTATTCTTGTGTGGAAAGCCACAAATCTATTCATATCTTTCAGGATGATTTCATTTGTTAGGGTCAAGTTAGGTCTCCTCTGTTGTTTTACAGACTGAAGGGAAAAGGGGGATAAAGATCGCCTTTTAAAGGTACCTTCTAGAGTCAAACACAAACATTTATCAGGGAAATATTTGAAGGAGACATACCTGGCAATGTCATTGCTTAAAGTCACACTAAACTCAGGAGTTAAACCTTAGGGGCCGGTTCATACCATATCCAGGGCATTCCGGCAGGGTGCATGCCCAGGGTGCATGGGGTGGGAGGGGGCATGGTGGTGCCATTCTTGTCAATGGCACTGCAGAGACACCTCCTGCCTGCAGTGCGATCACCCGCACCAGAACGCATGGTACAGAACTGCTCCCATTCCGGTGAGGTACAATCACAAAAAATAGTGCATGCAGGGAACGCAGGGCATTTCTGTAACAGGTGTACTGGTGTGGGCGTGAGGCATGTCTGCGGTGCCATTGACATGAATCGCACCACCACACCCCCTCCCGCCCCAGAACGCTGGAGGCCTGGTTTATGCAATCCAGTGTGTTCCGGGCATTAACCGTGCCAGAACACACTGGATATGGTGTGAACTGGCCCTCAAAATGCATTTATGTACCTTACCTGTTCCTTCCTTCCTTCCTTCCAGAGGGTGGCTACTTTTTGTTTCCCATGGTACCTGTGTGTGTTGTAAAGTAGCCACCGCTCCAAGCTCACTCCTGTGATGGACTACAATCTTATGTTTAGTTTACTAATGTGTATGAAGTTATAGTCCATCACAGGAGCGAGCTTGGAGTGGTATCTACTTTACAACACACACAGGGACCATGGAGAACAAAAGTAGCCACCCTCCCAGAAGGAAGGACAGTGTCAGCACCAATTCAGAGATGATTTGAGGATCTACAGCTGAGTGATACACAAATAAGATACATTTTTGTTAATGGTTAAGGTACTTGAATGTATTTTTAAGGTTAAACTCTTGAGTTTAGTGTCACTTTAAGTACACTAGGCCTTATACTGCATGAAATGCTCTGGTTGTCAGTAACCAGAGCTGCTGGAAAGATATAAAAGTGTCTAGGGATTCTCATCCCTGACCATCTGAGGCATGCCCCATGACTGCTGGATTCTATCTATCTAGGCCAATGGTCATCCATCAAAAAAAAATAGTGAAACCTCTGATCAATCTCTATTCCAGTCTGCTTACTTGTTACTCTCCTAACTTGTTTTGTGATTAGATTGGCTTGGTCTCTTTCTCACTCTAGTACTGATACACTAACTTTACCACATTGGTACTCTCTGATACTTTGCACAGCCATTGTTTTATTAGCACATTGCTGATTGTTACCCTAAAGGAGTTATGCATTTTTCTTTTATTTAAAGGCGTTCTGGAAGCAATCTCAGCAGTGCTAGTGGAGGCCACCCAGAAGACTGGCACCTAGAAGACAATGTAAGTTTATCATTAAGGTGTATTGAAACCCAAATGTTCAAGTCAAATGTGCTGGTACACATGTTCCTGTAATATCAAATAAAAGTAATGTAATTTTGAATAGGTCCTGTTTTCTAATAAATCATACCAGCAAGGTGTAACCACATGCATTTCCTTCCTGTATCAATTCGTTTTAATGGAAGGTTTTACAAAGCACAAAATATATCAATCAGAACAGGTGGGTAATAGAGCCCACCTAAAGTTAGAGTATCGGGTATCAGTATTAACGGACGAAAGTTAGATAGTAAATGGGAAACAGTCAAAATTGTTTGGAAAATGATGGGTTATTTATGGTGTTCAGACTTTTCAAAATGTTCTCATGGATTCACTTATAGTAGCCACCATTTTTTCGCTTGTTAAATACCAGCCCATTTAATTTTGGCCTGACTAATTGTTGGCACTGCATTCCACCATATCCTGTCAAAGATCTGCTTGTAAAGATAAGGACGAGTAGTTTTGTCTCATATTTAGTGCAGCTTGAAGTTTCAGATTATGAATTGCCCAACCCAAAACTGTATAAATCAAGTGGTGGACGTTCATCTAAAATCTTTTTTATCTTTGGGCACTCCCACCAGATATGTTTGAGGGTACCTATGTTTTCTCCTCCTCTGGAGCATTTATTAAAAACATTGGGTCAAAATTTTGCAAGTCTCTGGGGGACCATGTGCCATCATAGTAGGAGCTTGTAATTAATTTCCACCAGCGATGAATTAATAGAGCCATGGGCAGTTGAATGCCAGAGGCTCTTTCTTTTATAGTAAAATGTGACAACACTGCAAGTGATCTGAGCGTTGTCACCTTTTACTGTGCACTCCTGAGTTGGGCTACAAGCAACTGACACATATAGCATGCTGACACATTCTGCAGTAGTCATCACAGTAAATCACAGTGCAATCCAGACGCTGCTGGAGCATGCACATGTCAACAGGAAGTTCCTACAAGGGGTCTACAGGATGTGCACACTGCAGAGAGTGAAAACATGAACAAATTAAAAACAAACAAACTGTATTTTGTTAACAATAAATAATGCAATGCAGTTTTCCTTTCAGCGCTATACAGCGCTCTGTCATTCTACAGTAAGCATTGTATTAGTGACACAGATACCAGTAATCAGTCTCCATCCCCTAAACTCTTCTGGCTTGACAGTGTTTTATTTAGTGCTACTAATGGCTCTGGGATAACTCGTCAAGATGTTGACTTGGAAGATTGAAAACTTCAGAGGCACTGGGAATTTCTGTATATTCTTATAAGAGTTCATAAGATTAGAAACAAGCTCACTGACTTTACTAAGGTGGCTCCAAACAACCAGGCTTTCCTCTTAGGATACTCAAAAAACTCAAATGTGGATCAACAAAGATGTTGATGTTTAACTGAAGTGCGCACGCCAGAGAGTTTTTTCTTTTTTATAAAACAAAGATCTCCCTGGCTATTACTACTTTGAGTCCTCAAGTTTTCATCAATTTTTTTTTTAAGCCCTGAGGAAGGGGGATGTGCTTTCCCCCGAAACATCTTGGATGAGTTGCCGAGTTGATAGAATTGTGTTCAAAAAACATTTTATGAACTCTGATATTTGTTGAGTTGGGTGCCCCTGTCTGTTGATCCACAAGATATTTGGTTTTGGAACCTTGGAAGATAACATAAACCTTGTGTTACAGCAGATGCAATGTAAACTGAATTTTCAGTGGTAAGGAGGTTCTAGGGAAAAGGGTCAGAGAAAAACTCCATAAAGAATATATTGTTTATAAAAAGATACACATTGTGAACATTGCAATTGTAATTTGAGAAATCGTGTAAACCTCTTTGAGGTTAAAAACTTCAAGTAGCATACTACCTAGTATTGATCAGGAAGTAAAAGACTGCAGGGCAGGATGAGAGGAGAAGCCTACCTCTGGTACAGGTTAAACCTGACTTAGAAAGAAATGACTGCAGCACTTTACTTCCATGCTGGCGTGTCCTGTAATAAAGAATGCTCAAAGCTGGTCTGGTCTCCGCCCTTCTCTAATCCTCTGCAGATAACTTGTAGTGGGTGGAGCCTCCTGAGTCCCTACCACGGCTCTTCTCACCATACAGGCTATGTGCAGCACAGTGATGATGTCACCACTCCTTTTTAAGGCTATTATCAGGGTTTACAAATGATTTGGTGCACACAAAGTAGATTTATAAAGCTTTGTGGCTATTGGGGAATACAATATATTTAGAGGAAACTCTTTTTTTTTTTTTTTTATGGAGTTCAGTTTGAACAGTTTTACCCTTCTTTAGCAACCCAATGAGAGTGTGTTCATCACTGAATTTAAGTAGGAGAGAAACCAGTCTTTATGAGGATCCATACACAGCAGCAAACAGTCTAAATTACACTGCTTAGACAAAGAAAGAATGCAATGTAACAGGTCATATCTCTATCTCTGGGACGTCGGTGTGCCATTGTGCCTTTATTAGGGATGTCCGTGGACTTGCTGCAAACCAAGCTCACCCAAGCCCGTGCAAAACTGCCAGTGAAACAGCCCCCCAACCTCCCCCTGAGCCCAGTTAGCTGCACCCAAGGCATTCTGCGCCCTGCAGCTACACATCCAGTCCACAGCTGATTGGGCCTGCAGGGGTGTGTTTCACTGACGGCTTTGATCGGCTTGGGTGAATTCGGTTTGCACCAAGCCAACGCACATCCCTGGGAGTTGTTTGTTTATTTCAAAGTCTGATGACTAGTAATACAGATTTTGTAACCACAATTAGTGTTGCGGACCCTTGGGTGAAGGCATATGTGGCCAGATCTCAGCATATAACTCGGGTTGCCGTAAAGATTATATTGCGGTTTGTTTTGAGCCTAGAACTGTTTAGACGTATCTTGTAATACTCGGTGTTGTTTCACCTCCAGGTATTTCACAGCTCACACGAAGGAAGTTATTATGACTCTAAACGCAAAGATGTCTTACCTAAGAAGAGGAGGCGGACTCGAGTTCCTGATAAACCAAACTACAGCCTTAATCTCTGGAGTATAATGAAGAACTGCATTGGCAAAGAGCTGTCTAAAATCCCCATGCCTGTACGTGAGTTCCCTTGGCTTGTGCCTTGGAAATTGTCTGCACTTACAAGTAGCTGTAAGCGGATAGCTTGATCCCATTCGGGAAATTATCCAATGCGTCTTCAGTTCTATTATTTGTATCACACTTTGTAGCTTTGGCTGGCTGTAATGATTATCCTCTTACGTAGTGCCTTGCTGGGGTGGATGTGGAAGGGTGCTGTTTTATTTCATACACAGAACTTTTAGCTTTCTTGCACTACCCTCGTTCATTCTCTTCACCCTACATGAAGTCTCAGTGGGGAACAGTAGCATTTGTTGATATCAATCACAAAACAGCATTTGTGACTGTTAGTTCAAGACATGCTGAGATCTTGGTAGGGGGTAAACTGCAGGTTTTAGCCACGGCTTGTGTTATGGATCTGCCTTCATGGTATTTTTATCTTTTGGTCTTGTGCTTTACTAATGTTCTTGGTGTTTTGGCCTTTTAACTGTTTGTGCCTTTGATGTATTGTGTTATTTACTTCTGTGCCCTTGTAGCTATCATTGTTTTATTTTTTAAGAACATTGTATGTATCTGTATTATTAAAGGAGAACTCTGGGGAAAATACCATTAACCCTTGCAGTAGGGATACCCATGCACTGCAAGTGTTAACTGGTCATTTTCGTCTAGGGCATACGTGTCAAACTCAAGGCCCGCGGGCCAGAACCGGCACACGACGGAATTATCTCTGGCCCGCCTGATGATAATAAATTATCATTAGATCTGGCCCTGCCCGCCGGCAGCTCTCTCGCGCTGCCCGCGACGATCTTCATGGGACTGAGGAGCCGGAGAGCTGCTGCCGGCCAGAGGACTGCATTACCCAGCTGGCAGCAGCACAGCGTGACAAGGGAGGTGTGGCCGTGAGGTGAGGTGACTGAGGGGGGTCCCGGGGTCCAGTCCAGATGACGTGAAGTGCTCCTTGGCGGGAATCAGGATCCAACCCAGACCACAGAGAGCTGGGAGAGATGCAGCCTGCAAGTACTGTGCTGTGACACTGTCAGTCAGTATGTCTCTCCCCTTCTTCTCCATCACTTCTTCTGTACTGTAGAAGTCATGGAGAAGAGGGGGAGTGATATACTGAAAGTAGTATCTGTGACCCGCCTGCCTCCACACTAGTATGTAATCTAATAGTTTGATCTCTTTTATTTAAATTTATAGTAAAAATGATGGGGGGGGGGATGCTCAATGGGGACAGTATGGACTCCATACAGTCCCCAGTGACCATTCCCCTAACATACTTTTTTTTTACTGTAATTTAAATAGAGATAAAACTATTTTTTAAAACATCTCTAATTGATGATTTTCCTGATCCCCCACTGATAGCTCCCCTGCACAATGAGGAGAGAAAGCAGGGGAAGAATCCATAAAAGCGGGTACCAGATGGAAATACTTTTTCGTAAGTAAATTCATTTGTTGTAAACGCTCTGTACTATTTAATGTCTGTTTTTGGCTTTTATTATTTAAATATTTAGGCTATTTCTTAAAGGGGAAGTAAATAAAGTTTACAAAAAATGTTTTATTGTAATTATGTATCATGCTTTTTAATAATTAAAAGTACAGGCTTTGTTGTTATACCGTGTGATATACTGTATATGCCGCTGTATTATACGGTGTGATATACTGTATAGACCACGGTATTATACTGTGTGAACCAGCCCGGCCCTCATTTTTTACATTTTGGCCCACTGTGTATTTGAGTTTGACACCTCTGGTCCCTAAGGTGTCAAACTCAAATACACAGTGGGCCAAAATAAAAAAGTTATTCTCACCCAAACCTAAGAGCCAACCGTACTTCCTCCAGCCTGTCTCCCCCTTGCTGCAGTGAAGGTATGTCCCTCGACGTATAGACGGTCTATTGGACATGGTGACTCCAGGACCCATAGACCACTACAGTGGAGGGGGGGGGGCAAACTGGCTCCGAGGATTAGGTGAGTATAACTTGTCCCCCTGAGTCCTGCTTTAAAGTGTTTTTTCAGTAACTTTACAAACCTGCATGAATAAAATCCTGACATGTCACATTATACAGCAACAGTATAATTTTTTTAATAAAACTCTACTTTTTATCATCAAAAAGCAGTCTTTGAGCTCCATTCAAGTATAGTAACGTTTCCTAGGCTGAGATGATGTTATCACTCTGCTATAGGCAGGAGGAAGAATTTCCTTGGTCTTCTCCCCCAGTGATTACACTGTAACATAGTGCTTTGCAAGCAATGAATGGCAAGTCACAAGGTGAAAGGCTGCAGGGAGGGGCTGAGTCAGACATTTGTAGTCACAGCCAAGAATTACATGGGTACCAGGATTTTCATTGTGTCATCCATCTCTAAGCACGGATCTCAGTCCCAGAAGTAGAGAGAAGAGCAGGCAAAGGCATCATCAGGGGGGAGTACTGTAAGCACTGTGAGAGGTAATTATTACTTTCAAGTAGAACTCCAGGGATTTTTTTTTTAACCCTAGCAGTAGGGCTACCACCGCACTGCAAGGGTTAAGTGCTCGTTTTTGTTTAGGTTAAAAAATAAAAAAAGGTTATTATTACCCGATCCTAGGAATTGGCCTGGGTGTTAGACTGGTCCCTTCCGCCTCACTTCCCCTTGGCTCCAGTGGTCTAAGTCCTGTAAGTCATCACATTCTATACACTGTTAGAACACCTCGGACTGGTTTAAGAGCAAGCCAGCTCTGAGGATTGGGTAAGTATAACTTTGTTATTTTCGAACCTAGACAAAAACAAGCGCATAACCCTTGCAGGGGTAGCCCCACTGCATGGGTTATGAAACATTTTCCCCTGGGTTCTGCTTCAATGATTTTAAAATTAATACATAACTGACAAGTGTGGAGAAAAAAAAATCGCACCCCTGTGGCCACCAAAAGAGGTAGTAGAGGATTTAAACAACTACATCTGATAATTACTTTTGAAAAGTTAAACTTGTTTGCCAGTTAACATATTATATAATGTATGGGCATCTTTAGGCCTTGTTCACACCAAGCGCGTTCCAGGTGTAGTGCAGAGCACTTGCCCACCGTATCAAAACTGTGTCCAATGTATTCCAATGGTATTTTGGGCTCTAGTTCACACCGCAGCGTTCAGTTCCAGAGCATGTAAAAAAAACTGCAGCAAGCCCTATTTTACCTGCTCTGGAATGCATGCAAACGCATCAAAAACGCATGCAAGCGCCCTGGAACGCACTAAAAGCCCATTCTAAACTAAAAGAATAATGTATTTATTTTTTACCAAAAACGGCCCGGAACGCATCAAAAACGCGGCACAACTCACTGCACTGCGTGTGCAGAGACTTGTGCAGATCTGGTCTGCATTTGGTGTGAACAAGCCCTTAGTCTTTCTGCAAATGATACACCTGATCACAGTGCAGATCTGTTAGCGTCAATGTGTTTTTTTTTTTTGCTCAGATCTTGTATTTCAACCATCATCATTATCACAACTATTAATATTTTGCCTGAAACTTTGCTTTGAGGTAAAGCCGCCTTTACTTAGACATACTAAATTTAATTTAAAACTGTAGAAACCACCATAGGGCGACTTCTGATGAAGGAGACAAGGTCTATGCCAGGGCATTTTTTATTCACGTGGGTTTGACAAGTACACAGCATGGATCCTTTTTAATTTAGAGGATATATTGCGCAGGGAGCAGGGAAGACTCTGCGGAAGGCTTCAGCAACAGATGAAATATTTCAGATAAAAATAAAAGTGAGATTTCAGCTGTGAAGGTGGAAAAATGTGATGAGCTCAGTGTATTATTTTATATGTTCTATTTTAAGCTGGATGTCTTGCCGGGAGGAGACTGTTTTAACATCTTTCCAGATTTGTTACTGACTGGGTTCCTAGTGATGTCTCTTATATTGTCTGGGAGAATCTGATTATTGTAGTGACTTGTAACTGTATTATATACTAATTTGGGGTATGTATATATGTGCATGAATGTGTGCATGTATTTATATATGCTGTGTGTATCTATCTATCTATCTATCTATCTATCTATCTATCTATCTATCTATCTATCTATCTATCTATCTGCTGATAGATAGATAGATAGATATACAGAACAAAAAAAAACAAATAGAGGGGCATTGGCTTGAATATGTTGTAGGCCTGTATACCATTTGAAGACTGTGCATGTGTTGCAGTGAAAAAAGTAATCCATGTACTACTTTTCTTACATCGCAAAGCATTGTATTGCAGTACCTACCACACATTGGGCTGTAATGCTGGGAGCTGTGTTGCATTGTGTTGTGTGATAGCATGCACTAAGCACAGGGGTACCGCGCCTTTGGCTGAACGCTATGGTGTGAACAGGCCCTCAAAAAAAAAAAAAAAAGTGTCATGCTTTCTTGATGACTTCTCTACCTGCTTTGAAATACCCACTATCATCCTTCATGACTTTAACATCTGTTAATGTTAACTCCCCAGCTACCTCTTAACTCACAACCTAACCTCATTTTGATTTAACACAATGGACACACACTGCTACTCACTGTAATGGCAACACCCTTGACCTTTTCCTGTCTCTTGCAACCTCTCTAACACCCCTTCCCTGCTCTTTGCTCACATTCTAATGAGTTTCCTGCTCACCCTCTCTTGCAACAACACAGTTGATTACTGTCCAACAGTTATTTTTCTGGACAAGCTTTCTGACATCTTCTCTACTCCTTATCCAGCTGTTTTGTTTCACTTATTACCATGTGTGTGTGTTTTTGAGTGTGGTATTTGCAGTTATTTTTGTGTGAAATTGTATTAAACCTTTGTGTATCAGTACCACTTGAATGAGAAGGGGCTGGACCCCCGACAGCCTGTCCTAAGAAATGAATTGATACCGTAGTAGAAATTTTAAAAAAAGTATCACTTAGGGCTTGTTCACACCAAATGCAGACCAGATCTGCATGAGCTTCTGCACACACAGTGCAGTGGGTTTTGATGTGTTCCGGGCCTTTTTTTTTAGCCTAAAATGGACTTTCAGTGCGTTCCAGGGTG